TGCGGAGACAAATATGCCGTGTTCCGAGTGAAAGAATCAAGACAGCTTCAGAACGGACACCAAAAACCTCCGAGGCTAGAACTAGTCGGTTGGCGTCAATGGAATACTTTCTCGGCCGGAATTCGTCGTCAGCCACCCCTACTCTCAGTGGCGAGCCGCATCCCCAAATCCCGCAGGGCAGGGCAAACGAGCGAACTGGCAGCCTGCGTGATGATCCCTGTTGTTCAGCTTTTCAGCATCCATCTTGATCTGTTTTTAGCGTCCCAATGAAACCTGATATACCCCGACGGATGGCGCAAATACACCACAAACAAGCACTCCCTCCATCCCGGTTTCCCATCATCAATTCACCAGGGGTCTGCCTGGTATGAATAAACGGCGCTGGGGCTGAAGACGCCACTCCAAGATGGACTGCCCGTGCCAGGATCATCGAGACGTTTGCTCATGCCGGCAGTTGCTTCTCCGCGGTTGCCAAGTCGATGGGAGAATAGAAAGCTGTCATGGGAATCGTGCTTGTCTACCCCAGGGATCCCCCTTGCCCCCTGCAACTGGGCTGACGAGTTTTCACGCCCGCATTGTCAGCCTGTCACTTATACATACTACATAGTACAACCATGGAGGAATTGTGACCGTGCTGGCTACTCTGTGCAACTAATGCGGCCCGATGATGATCTCCTGACCTTCCGAGCTCAAAGAGGATGCAAGAAACCAATGCCACACACAAACCGTTAAAGCATAATACAACATATCATTCTATTATCAAGATCAATTGATGAAATACGATCGAAAACCTCTACCGTGCCAGCATTGCTAGGTCTTTCGGGCTCCAAGACGCAGCCTCCACTTTCTTTGGTGCCACGATTATGGTTGAAGTACCTTCTGTTTTTTGAGAGCACTCATCGTGCGCCTTCAGTAAATGAAGCAACGGTCATTGTGTTGTCTACACGCAACTGTCTTATAGATGGCTGATCTGCGCTGGCTAATTCACCCAGCGTGCAATGTCCTCCTAAATTGGCTGAAATACTCCCACTAGCGGGCAAAAACGTGGTTGAGCCCCCGCAGAGCTGCCATCATCAAGTTCAGACAATCCTTCAAGTATTATTTCTGCAAGGAGATCGTAACACGTCCATGTGCACACATTACTTGGAACACAATGTTCTGTTAAATGATGGCCAGGTTATTTATCCGTCGTTCGTAGGCATTGCTGCCTTGGCGTCAGCGCAGTTTCCACCGAGGCCTCGAGGCGTCACGGTTCTGAGATCCCAAAGCCACGACAATTTCACCATTTCGCTTAGAAAGGCAGTTTCTTATCGAATTTCCATCGCTCCAACATGTCCACGCTAACATTTGTGAGCCCGGCGCATACGACAAGAGGCCTGGTGTCAACTCTTATGCTGGCCATTTTCGCTTGCCAAGTGACATTTTAATAACATCAATGGGGAAACACAAGACTACCGAATAAAGACGCATGTCAAAAATACTGGATGTCTTTCTTCTAGTGGCTCATTACCATATAAGATTTAATTCCATCTTCTACAGCTTCTACTGGCTCTTTAAGGCTCAACTTTTTGGGAGTGCTATGCTAGCTTGTGGTTGAAGGGCAGACTGGGCAATTCATTGCTGGTAAGCTTACTGCAAGAAAAAATCCCTGCCTCGTCAACGAGAACTCATCAACAGCCAGATTAAGCACCTTGAGCTGTAAAAATGCTAGGTCGAGAGCTATGGCGGCCACCACAGCCAAGCGCTCACGGGGTTCTCCCAGCAGGAGAATGAGAAAATGGCAAACGGAACTATTAATAAAGAACACGCCCGTTACCTTCATTCAGACACTCTCGGTATCTTTAATGGTCTGTTTCACGCTCTGCTTCAAGAAAAAGCCTACATCAGCTTCCTATATAACAAAGCAAGTCGCGGTGAAGTTCCGCATCGAATACAACTGACACAATCCAACACTCAAAAAAAAGGCTGCGGAATACAACTTTTTCAATCAATCGGTATCGACTAATTGCCCAGCACCCTCATCAGACCTGGAAGCAGCACAGAGTAGCTCAGATCTTGCCAGGATATGCTCAGCAGTCATAATAGCGCTGCTACAACTAACGGAATCTGCACATAACAGAAGAGCTCTGTAACATCAAAGAATGTTGTCAAGAACCATCAGAAGACTACTACTCGAAGCACACAAGCCCTGGTTGGTTCGGCATTGGCCATTCCAAGCATTGATCAGTTCCGCTTCGCCATTTCCTGGGGTACATAATGGGGGGGAAAGGTTCTCTGCTCTATGTAGCCTGGTGGACTTTGCTTGGTACTCCGATCTTATTTCCAGCCACTTCAAAGGTGGTTTGACTATTACCCAGGGGACTTTAAAGACGCTCCTGGCTATCTACCCCATCAATGTATTAAGATGCACATGATGTACGGAGATGCAACTGGGTGGGCAGCGAAGCCATGTCACTGGCAATTCCTTATCCTTGCTCCAAAGACTTTGCCAGTGTCGGACACGCACCCCTTGTTGCTGAAAAGTGTGGTATTTGTAGGCAGACACGTCAATTCGGCAACTACAGCTTCTCACGGGTATACCAGGCTGACCATAAGTGCCATATTACCAGTCGCTAGTGGCATATGAAATTTTCATGCCTTCAATGTTAAACAGGGTCATCGTCACTGGTCCATACGCTGTGACGGACGAATATGCTCCTTGAGGACCCGGAGTGCATGGCACATCAGGAATGGGCCTCTGCAGTCTCCGGATACAGAAGGCTATGTCCTTTGATCCGAGTTCCTGTGAGCCAGAGATCCGGAAGAAAGTCGCGGCTGGAAACGTGGCTGTCAAAGATTACTTTGTTGTTTATGATGGAAAACGGATATGTTGAGCGGTGACGGGGAGCTGTAATAAGCCTCGCAACAGCATCCAGAGGCTTTTGGAAAGATTGATTGCACTTCAACCAGCTCGCTGTTCTTGCAGCACTTCTCAACTCGTCCGCTGCGATTCGCCTCCATGTAATGCGCCGCTCTGTCGATATCTCACACATCCAGCTGGAGTCAGACCCCAAGACTTACTTGCCATTCAATATTATCAATTTTCATATCAGCCTCAACGTCTCTGAGCCTGCCGAAACATACGTCCATCTTTCCGCATTCCAGAAGGATGTCAAGGGTCATGATCCCATTATTGAATTGCAAGGCATCAGTTGGATATCAGTTTAAGGGACGTCTATGTCTGCTTTTCTTCTTGAAGCCTCACGTCAGATTTACACAGCATGATACAGTCATCCCAGTTTATTCATCCAAACAGTCACTCGAACCTCCTCTTCGCACAAGTTTACAGACCCCATACTACCGCATCAGAACCCATCAAGGCATCACAAGTAACGTGCACCTCAGCTCTACATCAAGTATTTACCAGCGCGCCCTGCATCATCCACGTCCAGTACCTGCACTCATCCATCCAGCCACCCTTGTATTCACACCGGGTCCCAGGCCAATGTCTCAAATCTATATGCAAAACCCCCCGGCCCTGTGCTAGTACGTAGTAGTACTCGAATCTCATTTCGTCAATTCATTGCCCAAACGCAACAGTCTGCATGTCATGTCTTATTCTTGGGGTCATAAGCGTGCCCGGGCAGCATCACCAGTTTCTCGGCAATTTCCTGCCCTAATAAATCTGCCTCGCATACTCCGTATCAGAAAACCTTATTTTTTGCTGCGGCGTGGACCGTCACGTACAACACCGCGGTATTCTGCAACGTTGCTTGCAGCAGTAATGGCCTTGGGCTTTGCGGCAAGTATTCTGGGCAACGAGTTTTCTTTGTTTTTGACACGACAATTTGCGAGAGGTAGCTTTAATAATCATACCTCTTCCCAGTGTGGTGTTTTTCATGAATTTCCGCATGTGAGTCGGGCACAGATGCTTCCCGATCACGTTTCGCCAACAGCATAGATCGGACTCAATGCAGCACAACACGTTCCTTCTGTTCTTATCTGAACGGTATCCTATCTTTCGGAGTGTTGCGGTTTCTTCTCTGGGGGATTGTACATACCAAACTCCGGTTCCATCCAACTCTGCTACTATTTCCGCCCAATCTCCATGTAAGACAAACAAACGCGCGAGTTCAAAGTCAAAGAGTACGACACCTTCCATTTCACAAATTGTCTCTTTAATTCACTGCATATCACGACTCGAGCCGCAGACATCCTTCACTTCCCAATAGCTAGACTCGTCCTCCGTCTCTCGCAGCTAGCTCCCCCGGCCTAAGACACCAAAAGTCATCCTCAACCATCATGTCCAATACAAGATTTCATCGCGTCCCCAAAAGCAGCTCCGTTGACCACTGTCCAATCCCCAGCCCCGAGCTTGTCCCCAACCGGAATCCAGATTCACATCAGGGCTATCGCCATCAAGCCCGCCGACACCAAAATGATAGACCACGGTGACCGGAGCACGACATACCCGTTGGTAGCGGACCTAGACGGCGCAGGCATCGTGGGTGGATGGCATCAGGTCCAGTACGGAGGGTAAGGGCATCGATGCAATCATGGACACGGTTGGTGCTGGTAGCTCGGATAGCACAATCTTCGAGGTATTTGATACAGATGGACTAAAGCAGTATGCACAGATATGGGTTGGTGAAGACGAGGTCCAGGTTCCGGAGGGAGTTGAATCGGTGTTATTCAGGAGTCGCAATTTTGGACTCTTCCCAGGTAGTAAGAACGTTGAGGTTTGTCAACATTGTTAAAAGAAGGGAGATATAAGTTGCCGTTACCGGTAAGCAATGTCGGCGCGGGAGTTGAAGCGCTGAATCGAGGGTTGGATTTCATGAGCAAGGGCACAAGAGGTGAGAAGCTAATTGTCAGTTCACAGGACACACCAGCTCAACGAGCTCATGGATAGAAATGGGCATTAAATCCCAAGATATTCTTCATTAGTTTGCGGTATCTCCACAAAGAGCCCCCCGAGTCGTACACATAAGCCCCCTTCCAAATGGTATACAGCGCGTGCCCTAAATAATAGTGGCGACCGCCCATGATGCCAGCGCCGCGCCCAAGGCGATCGCTACAACGTTGGGCTTCAACCTCATCGACGCACTGTCGTCAATCTCTGACGTGTTAGTCGAGTTGAGCCCGCCTTGCCTATCCTCCTGTCTGTACACCAGCGCCACGACGGGAATAGCACTGACAACCACCAGACCAGAGGTTTCAGTCGGATCTATAGAATACGTAGATGTACTAATGCCGGTTGTCGCGGGGGTGACCACAACCAAAGGGTCACTCAAAATCGTGCCTTGATAGGACGTTACCGTCAACAGATCCTCTGTCGGCAAATACACCTCACAGCGCTGTGAGTAGCGAACTGACGAGAGAGGACCCAAGTCGGAGGTGCATAATGCATCTCTGTTTGCCTGGAAGCCCCTGAGTTCAGAAAAATGCAGCCACACCAGTTAGCTTACTCGGTCTGTGGCAAGTATCACGGGCAGCATTTCCTACCTTGGGCAGCACCACACCAGAGTCTCGGACGGACCGAGCACGTTGGCATATGCCTCCAGCCTCGGAATGGGTTCCGGAACGCCGTTCGGCGATGAAGACGCCGATGTGATTTCGGTAAAGGCGCCCTCCGGCCTCGTTGGTTGTTTTGTGCCGCCGTGAACGGTGCCCACCCGCTTCCATCCCGACGGGCATCTCAGTCCAGGTGAATGGTATACAAGGTTCCCATTGTGTGGGGTGGCAGATAATTGACGATTCAGCTCGTCAAATTCCTTTCCGTTGGGTAGGCATCCTTCGTACTTTGGAAAGCTGCAGCTGGGAAAGCCATAGAGCCCTCTTGCATCGCCCAGCTCCGTCTCGATATAAACGTTGGGCGTGGTCGTTGCGCAGGAGGGCGCAGGCGTGAACCTCGTGGTCAAGGGGCCAATGTTGGTGACCGAATAGCCAAAGTACTCCGTCGGCGTCGGCATGATGGTACTACCTGGACTGTCGGCGGAGGCACCAGTCTGATCACAGCATATGTCAATCACGTCCCATGTTGAATCTGCGTCTTGGCATGCCTTGGATTGTGCTGGTCTGTCGTGGTGTCTCGCGGGTCTTGGGGGTCTTGGGGTCTTGGGCAGAGAAAAAGTCCAAGTCAGCGAGATTCGTCAAAAGAGGATGAGGCATCGTTTTATGTGTCTCAGCTTCTGGTTTCAAGTCGAATGGACAGTTTGTGTCTGCGCCGGATGCCAAGACCAAAGACACCATGGAGTGGACAAGTGCACCAGACTCCTGTGGGTACAATTACTATTACTACAGACATTTAACCTCGACCCACGAGCCAACCTCTGGCAGCCACCAGTTGGCGTCTGACATCTGGACCAACAGCTGTCTGACATGGCCGTCGTTGGCACCTGCCAATGCTTGGCACTCAATAGTACATGGATCGTGCCAACCAGCAACAGATGTCAGCTGGCGGGGCTCATTGTGCTTTGGTCTCCCTCTTTATGTTCCGCATGACGAACTGCTTCCGTGCCCTTTCTTCACGAGAGGGCATGGGATCGGGTGTCCCAAAGTCGGTAGCCAAAAATGGCCAAATAGTATTCGGGCACGCATAGTCCGTAGACGTCTGGCGCATTGGCAGCACGTGGCTTTGTTGAAACTAGCTACGGACATAAGAGGGCCTGTTTGCACGACGGGAGCTCTCAATACCCATTAGCCAACTCTTTCCCACTCTGGGCAAGGTAAAGTCCACCAGGACCCAACAAGTCACATACTTAACGCCCAGGATTGAGGCAAGCGCCAAGCTGCTGTTCCACGACCAAGACGGTCAGACTACGCGACACGGTTGTCATGAGTCGTTAAAGCCTCCGTATGCTCACAAATAGCCGTGGCCACAGTCGCCGTCTGCCGTCTCTTGCCGCAAATTGGAGACCAGCCGCGAAAAGAAGGCTCAGCGCAATGCTTTGCAATAGATTTATTTCCTTGCCCATGTCACTCCGCCCACAAAGTCGGTGTAGGCAATATAACTGCGGATCCTGCCAAGTGATTTCAGATGTCATCCTCAAGAAATTTCCGAAAATGCGGCCAGGCTTGATTCCTCCCCCTCACCGTTGATGCCAGCCTACTCCGGCCGGTTGAGATTGCTAATGGTATTTCAGAATCCACACGCCGGATACAGGTGTGCCGCCAGGCTGTCTCGGGGCACTTTTACTCCATTAATTCACTTTGCGACGCAACTGATCACATAACGCTACCACATGTCACGTAGCACGCGTCTGTTTAGTGCAGTGACATGTCAATTCTCGAACTAGTGTAATATATTCAACAGGACGGTTTGTGGAGCAGTCGGCCTAGACATCGCCGGTGAAAGGACAGCCCTTGTCAGCAATATCGCCGCGAATCCACGAGTATCACTTCGACTCGTCTATCGGTCACAGTGCAAATGGATGTATGTCTGTTGTTCAAGCAGTTAGCCAATATTCTAATCAGCTAGGCAACAAAGCGAAATTTGGACAATGCGTCAGGTAAAGCAGTAGAATCACCGACAAAACTCATTCCCGTCTTGAAACATGTTTTTTTGATTGCATATCATCAGAAGCAGACATTCAGGGTTGGAAAATATTCGCCATACCTAGAAATTTTGAGCGCCTAAACCTGCGGGCATGACAGCCAACGCATCTTAGTTATTCAACGTCGGTTGCTGAGACCATTCGAGAAGCTTGTTGAACCGGCTCGACGGGAGGAAGCTTGTAGGGTAGAAAGGGAACAGCAACAACAGAGGTTGCACAGGCAGCAAAGACGACCCACAGGGCATTCATGTTGGAGGCTAGACGATGGTAGAGGGGCGAAGAAGGTTGACTCAAGAATAACAAGACCAACTCTGGTGGAATAGAATCAGAACAAGTACGGTGTGCCAGAAACAAAAAATCTAAAGAGAAAGCATGCGTTCCAAGAGAAGATTATTCCACTGGAAATAAATAAGTGGCCGCCAGTCCAATTTCAGTAGACGCACTCGAGGCCGTCGCAAGGCCATAGCCACTATCTATTCAGAAGGTCAGTGCTTGCAACAGCAATCCCGAAACGAATCAAGCGGCTCGATCGGCATTGTTCCCAGTCACAATCCTTCACGGCCGCGATGCGACCTGCAAAACATGAATGGATGAAACAGGGGACGGATGAGCGATGGCCTTTGAACACTTGCCCGCCAGTCAACCTGGCGCAGGCGACGTTTCAGAATCGGTTTGAAAGAGCCAAGGGGTAGCAGATATGAAGGATGCTTTGTCGCTTGTGCCATGTGCAAATAAGCCCCCATTCATGGCAGACGGCACGCATAGCCTGACCCCAGGCCCATTCTTGTAGCCGCGGATCAGCACGAGATAGCTTAGAAGCTGGCTCTGCAATCAAGGTGGCGGGAGGTCGTCTTTCAGGTTGGAGGATGATGTATCATGTCTGGCGCGTGGAACGAACAGACACAGAAGCGGGTCGGAATAATACGGCGGCCCGTAGTGCCTACTCCACCAGACCTTACTTGTTCCCGAACAGCACTTGGCTCTGAATTATTCCACTGCATGCCTGACCTGACGGGGATCTTACCAGCTAACAAGTAGTTCCCTTGTTGAAAATGTCTTCTAGTCTCGAGTAAAGTTACGTTCATAATTACGTGAATTTATTATTTATTACCATATAAGCCTTCACAAACTACTTCCAATCCCGACTTCGTCAGTACTCCATGCCACCGACATTAGCACTTGTCGGTCGACGCCCCGTCACAATCGATTCCGTCATCGAGGAGGAACGAAATGTCATTCATTGGACCTCTAACGGACTGGCAACTGACAAACTGTATCAGGCGCTTTGAGAGCAGAGAGAACTTATACTACTTCCACTAACCCTCGTTCCTCACGCGCAAATCGGGTCCTTCCGCTTCCACAATGACGGCACCGTCACGCTGACGAATCCACCCCTCTCATGTTTGATGATGATTTTGGAGAATGACGGGGCAGTGAATGCAATGCAGTGGACACGCTCACCTTTCACGATCGCCGCTTTCTGAGTTAGCTAAAAGCTGTTTATAGTATTAAAATATAAGGTATATTTTCTTATATTATAATAATTTTACTTATTAATTTTATAATT